AATAAAAATAGCCCTTGAGGCGAGTATGAGTGAGGTGGGGACCACACCTAAGGGGGGGCGGGCCCAGGCACGGCTGGGCACAGGGAGAGGGAATGGCTTCCCGAGAAGCCCCAAGCATAAAGAAGGGGGAAAGCGGCAGGACGCACAAAGAAGGAGGAACAAAGAGGGGGAAGTGGAGAGAAAGGCGGCAGGAAAGTGAAGGGTGGGGAGAATGTGAAAACAAGGAGACACAGATGGAGAGGGAGGTGCAGAGATGAGGTCCAGGATTGGGTAAGAATGCCCTGGAGTGGGGAGGGGAGCAGAGCAGCAACGGTGGAGTCTGCGGTCTGTGTTTTCATATTCTCAAAGGCCAAAGGACCACCGCTCTTCATCCACACCCACAGAGAGAGGAGAGAGTTGGGGCGACTCTTTTTCTCCTGTTTCTAAAACCCCCAAACCATGAATGCCCTAACCCAGGCTTCCCCCTCCTTCTGATACCTCTCTCCACCTATCCTTGTGGGAGCCCCAGCTAAACTCGCATCTAGCGACCTCCTTTTTTCTGGCTTCTGCAAGTCCCTGGCACCCTTCCGGACCCACCCCATCTCCAGCCCCGCTGCTATAACTCCACTTCCACTCTCTCACTTCCTTCCACCTACCAGTCCTTCCCCATGGATCCCCTCTCGGCCTCCCTTACCACACCCTCTCCCTTGAAACCTACCTTGCCACACACACACACTTGCACATTTCTCCAAGTCTCCCCCCAAGACACTCCTCACTATGGTCTTCTCATAGGACCACCCGTCCTGATGTTTCCCTCTGACCCTCCAAACCCTGTTGGGTCCCACTGCACCATTCTCCCCCAGTCTTTCCTATCCGACCCTTCCCCCAGCCTCGTCAATATTCTCAACTCCTGGGAACCCTCCTAAGGCTGCTGGAAACTTCTACAAACTTTTCAGGATTGGGCATAGAATTCTCATTACCACCCCCCCACACAAACACACACACGACAATTGTCTTCCCTTTCCGAAGCCACCCCCCCCCCCA